TAAAAAATATGGGCCGGCCCGGTGGTGCACTGCTACAGTGCGCCGCTTGGGAGCGTGGCAGCACTCCCGCCGAGGGTTCGGATCCCACATAAAGACCGGTTCCCGCTCACTGGCTGAGTGAGGTGTGGGCGCGACACCGAGGGTTGCGATCCTGTTGCCGGTCCCGGTCCGGTACGGGCGCGACACTGAGGGTTGCGATCCGTTGCCGGACACGGAAAAAGACAAAAAATACAAAAAAAAAAAATTTCTTAAAAAATATGTTGCTCCTTAAGTAGGTTAAACATGTCCTTATTCCACATGTACACAGAATTTTGTCATATGTACAGTACTGCCTAATTAGTTAACAAATCCTCTCTGCTTAGAGAGGGTAACTTTATCCATTGACCTGAATTCCTCATTAGGTTTGACTTGAACCTCAGTCATTATTACTTAGACTTGAGTTGGTGATTCTGCATCCAAAGTGCTGCCTAAGTTTGAACGGCCTATAGGAAAACCCAGACACTTCACAAACGACTCATAAATGCCTCACGCCACACCACTGCTATCAATATTAAGATCCTGTGGCAAATGGAAACTGACTAGGACTTTTCTTTCTTCACTGTGGGGTTTTAGGAACTAATAATTACTTTTGTCAAAAACTGTTAAAATACAAAATAACTCTTTATTACTACCACATCCCTCTTCCAGGCCTAACCTTTCACAATACGCTTCCTTAGGCCTCCACATAAGAATTGGATGCATGAAGTATCACAATGGAAGAGGCCTGAGAGAATACCTAGTATAATTCCCTTAAAGTTAAATACATGGCCACAGTCCCATGGCTTTTCACTGGCAGAAGCCAGACTACAAACACTGGTCTTCTAAATCCCAGGCTGTATGCAAAATCACACCAACTCTCAGTTTTCATTCAAATTTGTAAGAATTAGAGTATTAAGTCAAATATCCCAATCTGCCTCAGGGACTAGGCAGAATGTGGCAGATGCTCATTCTAAACTCCTTTTACTTTTTAATGCCTTCTTATTTTGCAGAGTTGGAAAAAAACAAAAGCCACATCTCTCAGACTCTCTTGCAGCTAGTATTCTGGATGTGGCTTAATTTCTGCCAAGCAGATGCAGCCATACAAGACCTGGAAGCAGGGAATGAGCAACCCAGGCAGGGGCTGCAAAGGGAAAAGGGTTCTTCTTGTAAGCAGTGGGGAAGGCATTTGGTTAGCTGGGACAGATTTGGCAGAGGTTCTAAAGACCTCCCCTCAGTGTCATGGGGACCAAGCAGTTTAAGGTGGTTGATGTCAGGGGGTTTTGCTAAAACTCTTCTGAGGAGTGGTGGGGTATTGCTTTTCCTGGTAGAAAAGCTCCCAAACCTGGTTCTATGACCTTCCTGGAAAAATGCCATGAGATAACTTATTTCCTCTAGCAAATCCCTTTTCTGCTTATATGAGCTGGAATCAATTGTGTTGTCTGATTCTGACTCAAGGAAGAACATTCCCAGAAAATTTCTCAGAGGACAAGAATGCCATATCTTTTAGGCAATAGAGGACCAAGCCCCACAACTAGAGAAGACCAAAAACATTTAGCCTTTGAATTCACCCGGATGGATCCTGCTATCTTGTCATCCATTTATATCCCACAAAATACCAAGATATACCTGTCATCTTTATTTATCTGGTCTCCAAATCCCACAGTGTCAACGATGGTTAACTTCAGCCGTACATTGCTTTCCTGAAGCTCATAACTTCTGGCTTTTAACCGGACTCCTGGTTCATTGTGAGTAGCTGGGTCACTTTCAAATTTGGTGTTGAATAAAGTATCCATCAATGTGGATTTGCCAATGCCTGTCTCACCTACATAACCACAATGGAAAAATGAGAGAATGTGTTAATGTCTCACAGACATCAGTTCAATTTATCAGTATTTTTTTCATAATCAC